CCCCGCAAAGCCCACGGATGCGGGTTGACTTTTGTATCTGTTTCTTTTCACTGCAAAAGCTGTGTCGTGCACGTCGTAGAATGTGGAGCCGGAGGCCCTTGAGATTGGGCCAAGCCCCTCATTTTCCCGGTAATGTAACCTAGCCTCAAAAATGTCAAGGGACTTGGCCAATGTTCCCAGAAGCCTAGTGGATTTTTAACTCCTTCATTGCTGTTCACCTGAGTGGGATGCCTCACTTGTGAGCTAATCAGAGTAAAATTGAACTGACCTGTTTCATAGGAATATTTAAGTGGGCCTTTCCAGCTGGAAAAAGGGGTCTTTTCAGAAGGTGTTAGGGAAAAGGGCTTTCTCAAACAGCTGCCATTGCCCACCCACTAGTGGAAAGGAAAAAAGCTATTCAAGGAGACTTTGAAAAAAACATTTTGAAGTTTAGTCTGTCATCTTAGGAGTGGATAAATGGGACAGGAGAAAGCACGGGAGAGCACGCCTCCCGGCAGCCTGGAGCCCCGCCCTTCCCAGCCAGCCCACCTGTTCGTCCTTGTCTGTGTGCAGTGGGTCAGGCCGCCTGGCCTCCTGGGGAAGAGAAGACATGCCTGAGACACGTTTTCAGGGGTAAAATATACTGGGGGAAAGTGTCAGGCAGCCTAACTTAGGTTGAGTATGTGGAGGCCAGTAAGTTAAACTCAGAGCATTTCTTCATCTGTGATTTTAAACTCTGTGGCTAAGTTACACTAAAGTATAATATTAGGTAACTTTACAGCAGTGCTGAGCACCAGCCTTTAATAAAAACTAACATCATCTAAGCGGAGGCCTCCTTTTTGGTCACCTATTTACATTCAGTAAATTTGAAATGACATTGCTAGGTTGATCAGTTGTCCTTTATTATAATCACTAACATACCATTGATTGGATTGTAAAGAAGGTTCTGATTATTGTATTTTGCCATGTATAATGCTTACTTTTTTGCCCAAATTTTTGAGGGGAAAAATAAGGGTGTGCATTATACATGAGTATAATAATTACATACCATGGGTATAATAATGGGTATGATAATCCCATATATAATACACACAAAACTGTGGATGTACATTATACATGGCAAAATACAGTTAAATGATTCTTTCAGCAGTACTTATTTAAAAGCACAGCTAGAAACACATTAGGTCCATTCCTCTCTACATTTGACATCTACAGTGATTTAAATAAAAGTCAGCAGAATGAACAAAGACGTAACTAAAATAAGTGAAACTAGATTTGGTTTGGTAGGGAATGTAGGGTAGGGCATGGAAAAATTCCTATTTTGCAACTGGAAAAAAAATCTGATTTTATATAAAAAAGAACAAATGCAGAGTACTTTAGAAGTACCTTTGTTTTTCATTTGCTTCATGTAATCATAGTTATTTTTAACTGAATATAGGATGGGAAGAGCTTATTTTTATATGCATAAAATATGGCTTAAAAGGCACTCTCATTATTATGACAGAAATTGTCTCTTTCAAACAGTAGCTGGAATTGACAGATGTTTGTATATTTTTTCTGAATACCCTTTGGGTCCTGAATTACCAGTAAAAACAGGCTGGCTTGTGTGTTCTTGGTTGTGTAGTGTCAGAGGTCTTATCTAGTTTTCATAAACAGCATTCTAGACAGCATGCTGACAACAGTATCATTATTGCTAAAGAAATGAGCGTAATTGTACTTAACCATCATCATGTCCAATCTTATAATTACAACCTGAGAATTAAACTGAACAACCCGTAGGATTTCCTGCACATCTGTCATTTGATGCTGCGGGACCTCTTGTGTTGGTGGCTCACTTGGGAGCGACCCTGACCTTGGAGCAGTCACCGTGTCCATTAGAGGGCACTGATGTGCAGGAGCCTGCCCTCCTCCCACACCCTGTGAACAGAAGCTGTCCTCCCAGCTCTGCTTTCTGCCTGGGACCAGGGGGACTGCCAGAAGGGACCGGCTCCTGCCCTTTTCCCGGAGTCTGGCGGCACCGCAGCAAATCCTGAGTGGGTCTTCTTGTTCCTGGGCCCGAGGTCACAAGCAGAGAGATGACAGCCACCACCGCCACAGCTGAGGTCAGAGGCTGCTGGCTGGACTAGGGTGAAGAAGCCCCCTCCATATGCATGTTTTAAGTTGATAGGATCCACAAACATGCCTTCGAAATGCTCCTTTTCACAGGAGCCAGTCTATTGATCCTGAATTCCTTGGCAATCGGGGAAATATTCTCAGACTTGTAAAAGGTAAAGCCAGCGAGGGAGATTGTTTTGAACACAAGCTGGGTGGATTTCATAATTGCCTGCTACTCTTTTAATAGAGTGCTTGGAATTTGTATACTTCTCTGAATTGTGTTCATGTTTGTTGGAAATATAATTTGACCTGGTATTTATAATTTTTGTCTAAAAGAAGCACTGATAAATTAAAAATGCCCATGATAACCCTGAGCGGCTGGTTTATAATAGCTTTTATTTCCGACTTAGGCTTCCTAAAACACTTTTCTTATGCTTAAAAAACATTATTATTTTTAAATAACTACATTTGCTTTCTGAGCCCTTTCTACCAAAAAAAATAATGTTTACCTTTTACTTTTTGAAATCGTGCCTTTTTTCAAGTCTGTATTGAGCTACTAGTAATTGTAAGGTTTGTTGCTTACCCATGGCTTCATTTTTTTTTTTTTTACAGTAAAGGAATATACAGAATATACTATAATTACAGTAAAAAATGTCTCCCAGACCTTCATGCAAATCTGATGGGCAGGTGGACTGAGGCACAGATGTTACTTACACATCTCCAACTTCTTTTCAGTTTTAAAATATATGATCCTTATCTTCCGCATGCTGTTGGCCTCAAGCCCAGAAGCACATTCCATTTACTGTATCCATTCTTTGGGGCTGAGCTGTCTTGAAGTTGTCATTGGACATTTTTTAGGAGTGAATTTTAAGATACATGTTTTAAAATGTGTACTAGGAGCCTGTAATATAAACAACTCAGCAGCTTCATGGCTGCCTTGAAGTCTGGCAGTGAGTGCAGCCCTACCTTCTAATGGCAGTACTAACACTAAACGCTTCTCTATGTCTGTCTGTCTGTCTGTCTCTCTCTCTCTCGGTAATGTACTAAAACAGACCGGTTCAAAAGCACTGGAATCTTTTTGGCTGTGCCACCAAAGTGCTTACAATTAGATGGGAGCCTGCCTCAGGGTACAGTTTATGGGTGGGGACTCACATGCGCTGTATATTTGCCATTTGGATATTAAGGTGCTTAACATAGATATCACTGAACAATAGCAATCTTGCATGGTTATCACCACCGAGCAGGTAAGGAAGCTGTAGCTCAGACGCTGTATGGAACATGCCCAAGAGTACACAGCTAGACCCCGTGTTTGTGTGCAGGGGGGCTGGAGGTGAAGGCAATATCATTATTGTTTAAGAAATGAGCATAATCACACTCACCATCATCACATCCAATCTTATAATTGAAACGAGAGAGCTTTCAGGCAGACTCAGACTGAGTTGATAGGTAATACAAATGGACCTAGTAAGACTTATCCTGATAGTTGTGACCCCAGGTGACTGGCAGAGAGATGGTGTTGACAAAAAGTGTCAGAGATGAACTATAGTAAAAGGTAACCAACCACGTAGCTTTGACCTGAGCACCCCCTGCAAGGCTCGGCCTCCTTGTCCCGCACCTCCCCACCCTCTCACGTGAACACACACTTCTGCCCTCAGCTCCTGCTGTCTGCAAGGGCGTTTACAGAGGCCTGCCAGAGATTCCAGTTTGTAAGCCGTTTTATTACATGTATGTTTATGTTGCTAATCCCTGTGCAGGGAGGACCCTCTCAGACCCTCGGCTTCGGGAGGTCACTGGTTTGGGGCAACAGAGAACGAGTCCCATTGTCCCTGGACAGGGGTCTGGCCCTTACTGCCTCTTCTAGATATCCAGCAACACCGCTAACCTCTATAGTCAAGTAATAAAGGGAAAGGAATCTTTGTCATAGCAATGAACCCCATGTTAAGCCCCTTCTATTTTGCTTCTACTGCTCTGCTTCCAGGTTGCCCTCTGGACCACTGCCCTGGCTGTGCCTGCCCAGTGGGTTCTTCAGTCCCAAATCGTTTTGATCCATATGAATAGTTACCATGTTTACCTCAGTGCAAGTTCAAGGCAGCCTTCAGCACTTTTGCAGCTTAATAACAAGTGTATTTAAATATTTAAGTTATATCTTTTAGTCTTTAGCCAAAAGGTGTCACTGACTTAGGTTTTTGCTAGTTATTTCCCCTTTATCAGAAAGTGACAAAGTGTGCATTTGATGTTACGTTACTGTCAGTGTTTTCTCCATCCAGTCCAAGGGCCAATGAGCTACTCAGTCCCAACTGTGAACTAGAAACATCGGGGTGTGTGGCTTTACTTTTCTTCTTTCTCTGTAGTGTAGTGGATTTCAACAACTTAAGTAATTAAATCCATGGAATGTTTAGCTTTCACAACAGCTTACTTTATAGAATAAATTATCTTCAAAGACCAGAACAGAGGTATGTAAGTGTTCTGTTTTCTTAGGCTTTATTGGTATGTTTCAAGTCTTCCAAAGAAGAGACAGAAAAACATTAACTCTGTAGTTAGACTTGAATTGCCTGAGTTGTGAAGCTTTGAGTCTTATAAAAATGTTAAATTGGTCCTGTGTGGCTTGATAACTACTATCACATATAGTCAGTTTTGGTGGCTCCATCATGCATAAAATGAGGTGAGGTTTAAATGAACCATTATTGCATGTAACATTTATACATATGTTTACATATTTAAAGATCTGATTAAAATTGTGATGGAAAGCTAACAGAAGATGTAATTCTCAAGTGTGTTAGATTAGTATACAATTGCTTCCATTTTTTTCTCCTTTGCTTTTTTTTAAATAGAGTTTTGACAATGGCGTGTGTCTTCAGTAGATAGCCCTACACATTGAACAAGGCAGGACATTGTTTTTATGGCACATGTACTTGTTCTCATTGTAGGTGCTGGACTGGATTGAGAACCATGGGGAAGCATTTCTGAGCAAACATACAGGTGTGGGGAAATCCCTTCATCGGGCCAGAGCTTTGCAGAAACGTCATGAAGATTTTGAAGAAGTAGCACAGGTAACACAATGGTTTTCACTGTTCTCTCCCATAAATATCTATGTGCTTGCTTTTAAACCACTGTTTTAACCACATCTGAGGTGAGTTAGCCTTGGCTGGATGTGTTTGAAGGTGACTCAGAATTGGTGCTCAGATTGCAGAGTGAACCTGCCATGGCGGAGGCAAAAAGATGGTTTAGGCAGTGGACCCTTTTGAAAAACATGATGTTCTTGAAACAGAAAAACATCTTGAATATTTTTTTCGTATTTATTGTACCAGTGTTTGTTGACTAGTTTGTGAAGTTTCATTTCATGACCAGCGAATAACAGTTCTTGAACTCTTATAATGTTGGGTGGGCATTTCTTGTTCTTTCCCAGGTCTTTTAAATGTGTGTGCTTAGGAAACAGGTGGCAGAGGCTGTGGTGTTTTGTGGAATTTGAGGGTTGGCTATCATGCTCACCAGTTGTGTGACTTTGGAAGTCTCTTAACTTTTAAGGTTAACTTTCTTACCTATTGGTTCCTAGAGAGGAAGTCAAGTATGAGAAGAAAGGACTACTAGCATCAGTAATGAGCACAGATATTGGTAAATATGTTTGTAATCTCAGTGGATTGACATTTCAACAAAAGGAGGCAAATTTGGGGGGTAGTTACAAACAAGGCAGAGCGAAAGCACCAGTCCACTTCCACACAGGGGACAGAGAGGTGTTCTGAGGAGAACAGCAGCGGTTTATCTCAGGTTTGCAGATTCTGGTGTGAATATTAGCATTTTCGAATGACTACTCCTAATCTAGGAATAGATATCACCTCAAAATAAATATAAAGGGAAAAGAAATACAGAAAATTGGGTAAATAAAAGCTCACTAAATGGATCTGATAGAAGCAAAAGAAATGCGAACAAAAATCACAGATAAGGTTTAATTTGTCTCTAAGTATCAGTAATTACTGTAAATGCAAAATAGATTTTACATGTTAAAAGACAAAAGTTTGACTGAATACCTTTTAAAAATCATGCTATACATTTTTTCAATGGACACACCTAAAATAATAATAAATAATGAAGTTTGAAAATATATAAAGTATTAGAGAAAGATCTACCAAGCAAATATAACAAACAAAAACCCTAGTATAGGAATAGTAATATTAAGCAAATAAACTTAAAACTGTGAAAACATTATTAGAAATAAAGAGGGTCTTCAGTAATAAAAGGAAGAGTGTCAGTATCCATCTAACACTATAATCTCAAAATCTGTAAAACGAAAGTGAACAGCAGGAACCCTTGGGTGTTCTGTGGGTAGGCTTTATACGACAAAGGGCTCAGTCATATACTGACTCAAGGAACTAAATACAGGCTAGAATTCTATGGGAAAACAAAACAAACTGCACTTAAGTCTTATTCAGTGAAGATGCCTTTAAACTGTTACCTTCTTTACATGTCTTCATACGTAAAGACAAGCATCCCAGCCTTTCTGCTTTTCAATCTCAAGAAACAAGAAAGAAAAGATAGTGTTCAGCAGCCTTGCTGCTGGTGGTGGGTTTTTCTTATCCACGTGACATGTGGTCTCCTTCTTACACTTACTGGAAAATATTTGCCTTCCTCTTGTAGCAAAAAATATGTGGAAAATGTTCTCTTATCTTCCCTTTCTTTTCTCCATAAGATAAGCTGCTACTGTAGCCACTGTGGTTTGAGGACGGTTCTGAAATTGGGATCATATGAGCAAAGACCTCAGGCACCAAAGGGCCTACGAGGCGGGGCTGCAGGCAAACCCCTGCCCCAAGCAGCACATCCACGCAGCCTCTTCCTCACTTCCTGCACGCACTCGGACAGGCAGGATGAGGGTCTGCTGAAGGTCTTCGTGAGTGTCCAGCACCCCATGGCCCTTCTCCCTCCAATTCCTGTGATTCCTTCCATTCTACACTAGCGAAATCTCTTTTAGGGCTAATCTTGCCCTGTGTTTTCCTGGTGAACTTATTTCATGAGGTCTGAGGTGACCATTGAAGCTGTCAGCACAGGTTCTCAGGGGGCAGCAAGAGTGAGAACACTTTCTTGGTAGGCGTCCCGGCCTTACGGTCTCTAGGGCAAGCCGAGGGTGGCTCCCTGCGCCGTGGTCTGCTGCTACCGCTGGTTCAGAGAACTGCAGGGCCTCGCCTGCTCCGCACTCCGCCCACCTGCGTTCCAGCCCTTTCCTCTCATCTCTGCTCACTGCCCCTGGGATTCTAAGGGGTGCTGGACCCACTTTTCCTTACACTGAAAGGGTTTAAAAGCCTAAATCTGAGCTGTTCATGAAAAGAAACCTTAAATGTAAACACCTTTTTCTCACCTTGCAAGTATCTGTGCCCACTTTCTCTCCCTCTGGTTTTCACATAATCCACCTGTCATGTGTCAGACATTCTTTCTGCCAGGCGGGGCGGGGGTGCTGGTGGTAGGTGGGTGGGTAGGTAGGCCAGACCCAGGCCTCCTGAATGGGCATGGCCACTGGTCAGAGGGCTTTCCCCGGTAGCTTCTGCTACCTAAGCCAAGGCCCACAAATCAGTAAAATTCTGCTTGGTGACAAAGAAGAGGATGTGAGAAGCAGGCATGGGGGGACAGTAAGTAGTAGTGCTGGGCAGCATTGCCATGTGGCCGGAAAGTGTATAGTGTTGACTCTGCGGAGCCTCGTCTCTCTGTGGGCTTCTGTCCTTGGCAGACCTAGCATTGGGAGCGGGCTCAGAGCCCTCTCCCAGCACCTGGCCGCACCTGTATTTTCTCACTCTCTCATATCTCAGGGCCCCTCCGCCTGCGCTCTCCTCCCACCGCACTGCCAGGACCTGGGCCCTGCAGCCTGCCCTCTTTTCCCAGCACCTTCAGCTTCTCCTGATCTTAGTTCTTTTCTTTCTAGCGCTCGATAGTTACAGACCACCCCCTCTCTTGAAGAACGGCCTTGATCCTGCTCTGTTTTTTAGATGCCACTTTCTTCTGCCTGCCTATCACCCACTGTTGCTGGCAGCCGGGCACACAGTAGGCCCGCAGTGATTGTCATTACTCATTGTAGTCATTCAAAAGTCTATCACAGTTGACCCAGCTGCTCCTATGATTTCCCTCCGCCGGCTTCACAGTGAAAACCTCTGATCCTTTCCATCCACGAGCATGTGGTGACTCCTGTTGCATGGAAGGCCCCAGGTGGTCCCTGATGGAGCTCTGGAACCCAGTCACTGCAGCCGAGCGCCCAGGCCGTGTACGGCAGGGAGAACGCCTCTGACCCACTGCAGGCCGGTTCCAGGAGGAGTGTGCTCTCCCTCAGAGCACACCGTCAGGCCGTGTAGGTGAGGGGGCCGCCCTCTAGGACAGGAACTAGCCACAGATTGAATGTAGTGAGCTGGGAAAGGGGCTGTAAGACCTCAAAAAATAGGGTGGACTTCTCTCCAGCTTCTCTACCTGGCTTAATAAAGATTATTTACACTTGTGTTGGTAGTTTCTTTCATTGACAGCTCTCTTGCTTGTCCCAAACTACAAAATGACATCAGTCTTGCTTTAGCAGAGGAAGAATGTGGCCCAGTGACATGAATCACTACCTTCCCCAGACTTCCTTTTCTGCCCTCCATATCTTTGCTGTCAAAGCAAATTATAACAGAAGGGATTATGGCAGAGATCTAAGTTCATGTTTTAGATTTTTGTATTGTTTTGACAGTATAGCCATTGGAGGCACCTTAAAAATGGAAATAGTTACTTTAGTGCTTCATAAGGAGTTAATTTCATTTTCTGAAACCTATTCACAAAGGTAAAGCAAATTTTAGTTTTAGGGAGAAGAAATGTCCTATAATAGTTAAGTTTAAAGTTGTTTAGTTTGTTTCTTGGGGTTGATTTTTGAAGGATCCTTCGTAAAATACATTCTAAATTGTTTTTGGTTTAGAGATTTTGAATTAGCAATTTATTCAATAATTTTTTTTATAATAAGCTTCTTCAAAGTAGGCAATTGTGGCATGATGAAGTAACGTAACAGGTTCAGAACGGAAGTGGTGAAAGTCTTATGGTTGAATTCCTACTAAATATAGGTTTATCACATAGATCAAATCAACTGTTCTGGGAAGGAGGAACCCGAAAGTGACCTCCTGTTTGCTTTGTGGAAGGGAACTGTAGAGCCGGACATAGTGTCTGCAGGACTACAAGCCTTCACTGTAGGGCCTGGTTTAAGGCTTTGTGTCCAAGATAACTGTAGCCACATGAGGAAGCACTTGCATCATTTTTTGCACCCGATTTTGCGGAGCCAAAGACCACCCGCACTAACCTGGAGATCCGTTCCTCCTTCATTTGGTACAGTGATTGTGAGTAGATACAATCTGTTGAATAAATCCATGCTAATGATTTATAGTTTGGCATATGCAGCCATGTTGGATTTTCATGCAGGAGCTTTGAAAAAGAAATTTAAAACGCTTTCCACGTGAAGCTTTTGGCAGATGACTGGTGGAAAGGAAGGTGCTCGTTGATAGTCATCCACGTTAATGTCCCCTTTTAAATGGAAGAAGCTATGAATACAAAAGCCAGTAAAGCCCAGAAAACTCTGGTTCAAGGAAGACACTGATTTTGAGAGTACAGATTTCTTTAAAGCGATTGATTAGTGAGTTGCTGGCAGAGCATCTTCCCATAGATGCCTACTCTTCATGTTCTTCCACTGCCTTCTCTCCTGCCTGCTTGTCCCTTGGGATTCAAATTACCTTCCAAAGACCGGAACCTGTCAGGGAAGTCATTCTCCGTGAAGCCATTTCTGTCAATAGCATTTTCTGTGTGCCATGTAATTATCTTGTCTCCCAGGACAAAGAAGGGTGGGATTTAGAAAGCAGGAAACCTTACCTTCCATTCTAGATTTTCAGAAGATAAGCAGGCCGATTCTCTGGCTCCCTGGTAGCTACTCAGTCTGCTTCTGTACAGAAGGTACTGGGCATAGAGAATGTGTACACATTTTTAGCACGGCCTAAATACAGTTCCTGAGATGCTTGTGTTTTTCTCCTGCTTTTCCTAAGATCAGGAAAACCCATCTTCTCCACCAGGCTCTTACCCTGTCCTCTGGCCATCTTGGGACTTTACCTCCCTAATCTCTAGGGAGAGGAAAGTCTGCTGGGCCTTTGAAAGGCTTTCCGTTTCCTGACTCCTAGCAATTATGCAATTTTAATTCGCAAGAAAAGAGGAAACTGTTTGGCCCCCACCCTGGCCTGGCCCTTACTTATCTCCTTTAATCCTCCCGGGGCGGTGATTGTTGCCCCACTCACAGACCCGGAACTGAGCCTGGAGAGATGCCCCTAGGGACGGGACTGCAGGTAGGAAAGAGGGAGAAGTCTAGTCTCTTCAGACTCTAAATGGGCTTTCTTACCTGCCCCCCCCCTCCATTTTTATGTCTAAATATAACTGATGTCAGTTTTCCCTTGTAAGAAGGACCCTGTCCTCGGCATTTGTTGTTAGGACAATCCTAGCTCCACTGATGGCCTTGGGCTAGTTACTTTACCTCTCTGTGCCTCGGGTTTCCTCACTTGCGATGTGGGAATGAAATAACGTCCAGTCACAGGGCTGTCGTGGGACACTGAGTAAGTGCCCCCAAGTTAGCAGTCATGGCCCGTGTCGTTACTAACACACGGACCTCTCTAGGTAAAAGGATCAAGGTAGGTTTTGTTTGTGTGGAAGTATGGCCTCCAGCAACCCCGATGATGCTGTGGGCCCAGAGGAGGCCACTGAACCCTTTCTGCTGGCTCACTTCTTCGAGTGTTAAAAGGGTGGTGGGGCTAAATGAATGCTGTTTAGTGTCCCAGATGATCTAACAACGCACTTGTTCCTTTTGGACGTTTGTTGTTGCGAATGTCTTTACCTGTTGGCAAAGAGGTGGGAAGCTTTCCTTCAGAACCATAATGTTTAGCTGCTGGGAGGCACTGTTGATGGAGATTCGCACGAGGGGAAAGCAACTTCACGGACGGCCATAGTGACAATCAATAAGAAAAAGGGTTCAGCTCTTAAAAAACGTGTGCGTGTGCAGCATGAAGCACGATACCCTGTGAGCTGTGGCTCACTTCCTGGGTGCAACCCTGCAGAAGGAAGCGTGGGTCTCCATAAGCCCCTCATCCCCGGAAGTCAAGTCACGGTGCAGCCTCCGGTAATGGGAGGGTCTTTGTGGGCGGCCTGTGTGCAGAGCCTCTGTAGCCAGAGCCCTCGATGCTGGCAGCTGGCCATTGCTAGGACAGGGGCTGTGCCAAGCGGCCCAGGGTGCTAGCATCTCAGGGAGAAAGACTAAATGAATACACTGACACACATACACACACCATTTTAAATATGCTTTTTAAGAATAGTTTTAGATTTACAGGAAAATTGTGCCAATGACATAGAAAAGTTTCCATACCCTGTCCCCAGTTTCTTCTTATTACCATCTTTCTTAGTATGGTATATTCGCTTCAGTTAATGAACCAGTTCTGATACGTTATTAACTCAAGTCCATACTTTGTTCAGGCTTTCCTAGTTTCCTCCTATTCCTGGATTACACCCAGAATACTTAGTTACGTTAATTTGTCCTGGTTCCTTAGGTTCCTGTGGGCTCATGCAGTTTCTATCATTATTCTTGTTGTTGTTAAAAGCAGCCATCCTTTCCCTCCTTGTCACCGCATTAGTTTCTACCTCATTCATAGATTATCTCCTCCTTTATTCCTCCCCTAAGGCAGGTGATCCTTCACCTCTAGCCTGAGGCTCTGGTGCTCACCGTCTGTGTAACAGGACTGGGCTAGGAACTCAGGTCTCTGATGTGAGAGTCTGGGTCCAGTTTGTCACTCTGCTTGTCCAGGCTGGTTTGATAATCTATGTGGAGGGCTGCTGCTTGTCACAGTCATTGTTGGCAGGCTGCCAGACCGCGCCACCGCGCACGTGGAGGGCCAGAGAGGACTGCAGTTAAAAGGGTCGTGGGGCTAAATGAATGCTGTTTAGTGTCCCAGATGATCTAACAATGCACTTGTTCCTTTTGGACATCCATACATAACGGGAGAGTGGGCATATGTGACACCTGCTTTTGCGATCCAGCTCTTTAGAAGTGGGCAGTTTCACTGTTTCTGCCTTGTGTAGGAATTATTGTAACTTAGCTTTTAAGTGTGTCACCCTGAGTAAATAAGAAACTCAATAGTATATAAAACAGTGCTCTTAAAAGTCCTGCAGTTAGATTGGGTAATTGACTGTGCTTTTCAAGTTATTTCAAATAATTGAATTTCAGAGAATGTAAAATGTACACAGGCATTTTTCAGGTTTGGCCGTAACTAGTAAATTTTAAGGAATTCTTTGACACCTTGTCCATCATTTATTTCTAAAAAGAGTTCGGAGAGATCCTTTGTTCACAGTGTAGAGTATTCCCATGAGACTTTGGATAGTAACAAAAATGAAAAGACCCTCTGAAAATGGTTTCTGAGAAGGACGGGAGGAGGAGGTGACCGCGAACCCTGCCACGCAGCAGTGTGGGAGCAGGGCAACAGGAAACGCTGGGGAGCAGCCCCAGGCGCCTAACACCGCGGCGCGCAGCGTAAGCGCGGGCTCCAGAGTCCTGATTCTGCTACCTGCCAGCCTCATCCCCGGAGCCAGTGGCTGTCCTCCAGGCCTCGGTTTCCTTCCCTGTAAAAGGGTTGTGGTTGGAATTGGACAGCCCAGTGCAAGGGTGGCACTGGGACCTGCTGCACAAGTATTGGTGACCGTGACACTCGGGTGGTGATGCAAAGAGCCGGCTGACATTTAGCTGGTCTTTATTATCCCTTTAGACCCCGTCGACACGGCCTCCATCCCCATTGCTGCCTGCACAGGATGGACTGTGCCCCCAACCCTGACGCATTGGGAGCACTAGCTCTGCACGTGTGCGTCAGTGTCCTGTGGAGATAGATCACCATGCACCTGTCATGCAGTGTATTACAGCTGTTTAAAATTTTGTTTTAACTTGCAGGAAAATCAGAAGTACAGCGCAAAGAACTTACATTGCCCTGAACCATTTATTTGTGTGTGTATTTCCTATTTAAAAGGACATTCTGTGGCACAACCGTAATTCCACGGTCAAAATCAGGAAACTAACGGTGACACCTGGCGACCTTCTAGCCCTCAGAACCCGTGACGTCCTTCACAGGAAAAGGATCCAGTGACAAATCACCCGAGACCCTTAGTCATCACGTCTCTAAGGCCCTTGAGTCTGGAGCAGCCTTTGCCTTCCCTTGACTTCTGTGACCTGATGCTTTGGAAGATTTCAAGCCCATTATTTTGCAGACTGTTCCCTACTTTGGGTTTGTCTGATGTGTCCTTGTGATTAGATTCCAGTTATTCCATATCTTCATCAGGGGTATCCCAGGAGTGGAGCTGTGTCCTTCTCAGGCCACCCCATCCGGGGGCACGTGGTTTTCATTTGTCCCGGGACAGCTGGTTCACTTTGACACTGGTTTAAGGTGGCTGACTTCACTGTGAAGTGAGTCTTCCCCCTTGTAATGAGCGAGTACTTTGTGGGGAGGTGCTATGAAGGTCTGTGGGCTTCCGTTCCTCATCCAGTTTTATTTATTTGTGTCAGAAGGGACATGCGGCTTCCTCTTGCATTCAGCGGATCACACTGCTACTCTTATTGTTTGTTCTCGTTGTCTCTGCTTTGGCCAGCAGAGCCTCCTCAAGCTGCCTTCTGTGTCCTGACCTGTCCACATGGTTCTTGAGCATTTCCATGCCTTTGGCCCAGTGAACTGTTTCAGGGTCATCTTGTACTTTGTCCCGTTCCACCCCGGAATCCGCTGTTTCTCCTCCTCATTCACAATGATACCTCCAGTTCTAACCCCGTGCCATGTAGTTTACTCACATTTTCTCCATTCCCATATTTGTAACTGTTCTTCAAAGTGAGGAACCTGCCTCTTACTATCCTGAGTGTTTTGGCTTAGTAGCTTAGTGCCCCTAACTGTAAACAGCCTCCCAGCTGGGAGGCTGGCTCTGCAGGGGTGCGCTTGTTGCCCACCAGGCTTGGACTCCCCTCAGGGATACCCACACTCAGGGCACCACTAACCCTCAGTGATGACTTGCCGACCTTGCTTGGCCTTAGGACTGAAATACCAGAGGAGGAGGATGAAAGGCTCAACCTGTTATTCAGCGGGGGGACCACAGGGTTCCCCGGACTTCGCAGAAGTCCTCCACCTGCCCCGACCTCTCCCTTCCCCCATCAGCGAGCCTTCGCTGATATCTGCCAGGGTCAGGGCTCCAGCATACTTGTTCATTCAGGAACCCGTTTGCAGCCTCAGTTAGCAAGAATTAAAACTGGAGTAATCTTCAGAGTATTTCAGACACCTGTTTACCTTAACTTCCAACTTTTTAAAACTCTGCTTTATAGCCATTATAGTTATTATTTCCTTTTTCTCAAGAAATGCATACCTTTAAGTAGAAAAAAGAAGCACAGAGTCACCAATAAGTAGAAACACGTGAAAAGGGACAGCAACTTATGCTTGTGTGTAAGTGAACCTTTTCACTTGAACTTGGAATAATTGTGAGGTGGTGGTCTATCATAGTGAAAGACACAAAACTGGAACTCTCCACTGTCACAAAAGTGGCAGAAGAAGTGAAGTGGGCCTTTGTGGCTCTCTGCTATCTGCTGTGCAGTTGCACAAAGCTCCGAGCTCTGGATGAGTCAGGAGACAGCCAGCAGCTGCCTGCAGATATCCCCTTGCTGCTGGAGACGGAAGGGCTGGTCATGAGGTTCGAGGTTTGACAATCTATGACAGTAAAGGCCAAGACTGCCGATAGAGATGTAGTGAACTCCTGAAATCAGCTTTTCCATCGTGTGTTTTCTGCTTGACTTCCGGAAACGATCGGGAGTATCACAGGCTGACTCTGTAGCGGTGTTATGACTCCCAGCCTGGCCAGTTTGTGTTTTGTTCAACTTGTGTTTCTCGGGCTGTTCTCTTGTGCAGAACACGTATACCAATGCGGATAAGTTGCTAGAAGCTGCCGAGCAGCTGGCTCAGACCGGGGAATGTGACCCAGAAGAGATTTATCAGGCTGCCCACCAGCTCGAAGACCGGATACAAGACTTCGTTCGCCGGGTTGAGCAACGGAAGATCCTTCTGGACATGTCGGTGTCCTTTCACACCCACGTCAAAGAGGTAAGACACCGGGAGATGGAGAGGTGGCCTGTGACTGCGCGGGTTTTGAACTTGTTGGAAGGAACGTAGCTTGGTCGTGATGCGAGAGAGTGGACCAGAGGTGGCCGGTGCTGATCTGCTGCCTGCTCCCACCGTGCGGGTCAGCGTGGACAGGGACTGAGCTGGACTCCCTCAGGCCTGCCCTGCAGCAGGAGCACATGCATGCCTTTGCTGGGGGTGGTGGAAGCCTGTGTGTCTGTCCGCAGCGGGCCCATGAGGGCTGGGTGTCTGGGGAGATGTGTGGGTGAGGGGGTCAGCTGAAGGAGAGCCCTTAGCTTGGAGTGAGACGGCGTACGCCCATTTTAGCATAAATAGATGGCCTGCAGGTTGTGGTCAGAGCTGTCGGGTTTCTGTTTTGTGTGTTAGCCCATCATGTGGTAACCGTTGCCTTCTGATTTTATCAACTGGGATACTCTCAGATACTAATAAAAGTGGATTTTACAAGAATACTGAATGTGCCAAGGCCAGGACCAAGACATCAGCATTAATTGAGGACACCCTGGCTTTGGTGAGGTCTGCTCAGTGTTAGTTCAGGACTTCTTTTTAAGAACCACTCCTGGAAGAAGGCTGGGGCCTGAAAGGCTGGTCGCAGACCAGGCCCTTCCTGCCACTGCGCGTGCTGAGACCTCTGGACTCCTCACTCTCTTCACCCCCACAGGACAGAGTACAGAGTACCTGTTTCTGGGGATAGAGAGAAGGGGAAAAGGTTTCACAGAGATGGCAAACATTTTATACCTTGAGGTCACATGCAGAAGGTGGTTGATGGAGGTGTCCACCTCAATTTCACCCTTGAACTCAGATTTGGGACCCCTTTCTCTCGCTGTTTTCTTTTCCTCTGAAAAGGATTCATGAGATGCTTAACCTCCTCTTAGAAGATGAAGAAGTGGCACTATCACTTTTAAAAAATATATTTGAAATAGTATTTAAAAGAACTGTTGATTAGTCTAACATAAATTTAGCTTTTATTTGAGGAGTACTTTTATTCTCCTCTATTTGTTTCCCAACTCCCAGTTTCTCTGTTCCCTTCAGTATTATTTGTAGTGTTTATTCACATCATTTCTGATTATAATAGTCCCATTATTAGTCTTTTGTTACCTGTCCTCCTTCCCTTTTAAATGCATTTTTACGCTACTCATTTGTTTATTCATTCTTTCATTCTTTCACTTATTCATTTCAAAGTGTCTCCTAAGCTAAATGTAATGTTCAAGGAGGTGATACACAAGTGAATGACAGTGGAAAACATACTTTTGCTTTCACATATATTACATATTTAGACATTCATTTGTTTCTCTTGGTAGATGCTAAGTTCCTTGAAGGCCGGAACTGTCTCACTTTGTACGTACCGGTTAACCTCCCTTCCAGATTTAGCAGATACTCAATTGCTTGTAGAATAATGATGTCTACTTCTAGCATATATTCTGAGACACATACTTCTGCTTTCAGATATAGCAAAAACATAACTATTTTCATTCATTTATACTCTAACTTCCTTCTCAAAATTATATCCTGAGTTAATTAATTATTACTTTTGAATTTGTGGGTTATTTGGGCAGCCAGGTGGTCTCATTGAGTTCTCTGCCATAGTTTATTTCTGGAACTGATTCAATGGCCCAGAGTCGGTTTTTGTTCACTTGCTTCCCAGCAGCCTTGGTTTCCCAGGAAAGATCGTTTTCATTTGAATTGGGCTGTGAGTCTTGCTGGGTTTAAGTAAAGAAGGTTTTTGGTTCTACTTCTGCAAACTTACACACTGAACTGGGACAAGTTTTTGTTTGAGGTAATGCCTGGGAAAGAGGAACCTTTCATTTTATTCAGAAGCCAAAAATAAAGACCCCCCCAGCCAGCTGGAGATTGTTTGGTCCCTCACGGCAGTCTGGCTTCAGTGTTAGGCCTAACACATAAGCATGCAGACTTTCTTCTTTATGCTTGGCCAACGCTCACTCTCCCTGGAGGCGCAGGGAGAAGCCTTCCTGCACCTTGTGCTGCGGTCGCAGTAGGGTCACTGGGAAGCAGGAGCTCTCCTCACTTCTGGGGGAGCAGAGCCCGGGGTGCTGCCCTTTCTCACGTCCTCACCTAGCTTGTTCCAGGAGTCTGCTGAAAGCATACCCAGTGCTTGCTTCCTCAGCCAGCCACTGGTCTTCAACGGCTCAGATTTCTTTTCCCTCCTGTCCTTTGTAAGGACACACACACACTTTGTCCCCCGGCCTAGACCACCTGCCCTCCAGTGGATTCTTGCAATCACCAGCAGAGCCCAGCCTGTTCACTGCACCTCTGCTCTACATGGGAACAGGTTAGTTCTGTGAGTGATCCCAGCCTCTGGAGCATCGGATTCCTCCAGACTCCTTCTAGCGCCCGTGCCGAGTTCTCTGAGATTTGGTTCTCCGCATTCAAGCCTTCATTTTGGCTGTCTTGCAGTAGCTCTGCGGATGACTCATCTGCCTGTACATATGCTTTAGAATGATTTGCTTTTTCCTTTGTTCCTATTTCTACCCCACATATATGTCTCCAAAGATAGATGTGATATCTTTAAACATTATTCCCCAGCTTTTTTTAAAAAAAAGTTTTATTTGAAATAATTATAAATTCACAAGAAATTTGGAGGAAAAGAGTCCGACAAGAAGTCCATGCACCCTCCTTGCAGCCTCCCCCAGTGGTCTTATCTTAACATAACCACAGTGCACTAGCAGAGTTAGCCTTCTTTTTCGTAGGGTACTTTTAATATTCTTTTTCAATTTGATACTCAGCTTCACAAACTAAATGTGATCTTCCGTTAATTGAGAGAAGTAAAGTACCCATATGAACATCTGACATGTATTTTTACTGATTATTGTTGTTCTTATTGACTAAGTGATAGGAAGACTAATCACTGACGATGTATTAGTTAAGGTTTGTCAGGGAAGTTTAAAACCTCCAGATAAGGTAGGCTTGTAGAGAGTGATAAGGCTTTCTTTTTGTTGTTTTTTTTCTCTTCCTTTTTTAAAGCACAAAATTCAGAGCCAGGAGATTAAAGAAGGGCCAGGCTTTCTGCTTGGGACCGGTGCTGTGGTAGGATACAGGTAGAAAGTAGAAAAGATAGAAAAATACAGCTCTCACTTTGGCTTCTTTTCATCAAGGAGACTATTCTTCAGACTGGGTTAGAAGAAGCTAAAGGCCAGAATGGGTGAGGGTTTTATTAAGAATGGACTTACTTCTTCTAAATGAGTTTAAGTCTCTCTTCCAAAATAAATTAGATCTCCGGATAGTGAAAGAACTTGGTATTAGATTACCACATTAGATCTATCGATCTCTAAGGAACTGTGGGAAAGGGAAGAGGCGCCACAAGGTTGAAAATGCACTTGTGCTTATTTAAGAAGGTAGATTTCACATATTACTCAGGTTGAAGCAATCTCAGGCAGAGTTCTAGGAAAGATAGTTTATCAGCAGCCAGTGAAGGAAGTAGTTAACAAACCGGTCATATAACATGTTAACTTTATTTCATTCTTTACTATGTCTCTGGTTTGATGAAGGGCATGCTGTGGAATTAGTGAGCATTTGACCAGGCCTTTGACATTTAAGTCATAGACAGGACAGAAGAATTTGGGCCATCTGTTAGTACAGTGATGTTAGAATTACACTGCTGAATGGCTGTAAAAAAGGATCAACTGAGGGTGTCAGTTAACACAAGAGCAAGACTGCCCTTATCATCCCATACTGATCTCCAAGTAGATGCCAGGAAGAAAGTGTTTGTGATTGCAAGACATTACTCATATCCAGCGTGTGAATCAGGATGTAATTTCCAGTCCAGACCCACAGTCGGAGAAGACGGAGATGGGACATGGGAGACCATTCCTCTCAGGCTGAACCGAAGGCCCAGCGGGCGATCTTAGTTCCTGCTGCCACCTTTCATCGGGGAGCAGCCTGTACAGTCGTCATGTCTTCAAACTGATGCCACTAACCTATTCAGAACTTTTACTGTGTATGGGACATCTCGAGAGATTGCTCCAAATGTGGGAACCCTGAAAACTTGCCTTTGTTATGTTGAGAGGTGTTTGTCTTAAAAATGGGCAAGCTGCCACAATGTGAGGAGAGCCTTGGTGCTGTAGCAGAAATAGCCATGGCTGCATTAAAACCCTTACAAGTGAGCCTGTCAGGGCAGGGTTTGGCTGGGGGACATTTCCAGTGACATTGCAAATGTCTGTCCCCATGCAGAAAGCCTGTGAGTGGTGGATTGGCCTAGAAGGCAAGTCTATTAAGGTCTAGATCAGGGTCTCTCAAATGTGTCAGATAATAGAATAGCACCCCGAAGAGTTCAGCATGGATAAGTCAATATCTATCACAGAAATTTCATTTATAGGTTTTAATAATGAGTCTGTTCTAAATCAGAAATACTGACTTAGGCAGGTTTTCGAGCAAGGGCCATGTAGGCATTAAACAGTAATCTTACGTGTGTTCATTGAGCGCGTCCACAATAATGTCATGCCCTGAAGTGACATATCTGCAGTAATGAGTAAAAGCACAGGATCTTTAAGGGGGATGGGTTGCCTTCAATTCTCCAGCCCCCACTTTGAAAGGGGTGATAGATAGATCAGAGGAGAAGGCGCTAGTGTTGGTAGAGCTCTGAGGATGCGGTGCTGGCCGAGTTCAGGGGTAAAATGTTAGCCTCGGGGAAAGGAGGGCAGACTGCAGAAACAGGCGCCACCTCCAAAGACTGAAAGAGGAATTAACTCTGACCAACTGCTGATTATACCAGGGACTCTCGTTACTTTCAGAATGATCTGCGAAGGGAGGAGCTTTTCCCAAACGAGACGCTTCAGGGAGTATGTATTGTCCCTCAGGGATTTGGGGAATAAAAAGAAAATAAAAAATTTCTCCTCTCAAAATCTCCGTTTTTAGCAAATTAGACTTCCTGTAAACATCTGGGTGTTGAGGTTCCAGCACCGACCTTGAACTCCGGGTCAGCCCTATCACATGGGCCACGCCTTGTC